TTTTTCGAAGTTATATTACCATATATTACCATGAAGGTACGTTGTACCAATCTGTTTTGATCAATCACGATAGTTGAAGTCGCAATCGTTCCTAATGATCGTATATTAGCCAATCAAATTAAAACCTAAAAGGGCGAAGAAATCGCCCTTTTACGTCGTGGAGCATCAATTCCAACTGCATCTTGTGTGATGTGTTTATCACAATCGTGAACGCACAGGAGCAAATGGAGTAGAAGGACTGTGTGCTGTGCTCTATAAGTTGGCGGTTCCGATTCGATGGAGTGACCTGGAATCGTTTTTTGGTCGAAGGTCAAGTGGTCTTTCAATTTTGTTTCTCCATGTACTGGAGATTATCGATGTCAAGTTTCCGATCTTTTGTTCTTTAACCGCGAATATGCTGCACAAAACGTAAAAGTTTATGCTGACGCAGTATTCGAAGCTGGTAGCCTATTGCAAAACGATTGGCTTTTTTAGATGAACTGTTCGTGGCATTTGTAGAACTAAAGCGCGTAACCTTTTGCGTGATGGGAAGTACCGGAGTCAAAAAGCTGTATATCACGGTCATCAACGCAAGCATGCGCTTAAAATCAGACCATTTCGACTCCTGATGGCCTAATTTCGCATTTGTATGGCCCGTTTCCTGGGCGCAACCACGACATTAAGATGTTTAAGAGCTCTCAAATTTCAAGTTCAATTCATAATGATGAGCAATTCCGGCTATACAGAGTGTACGGTGATCAAGCTTACGGAAATGACGGTGTATTGGCAAGCCCTTTTACTGGGGCCATTGGAAATCTATCTAGGGATCAAAAGCTAGTGAACAAAAGCATGAGCAGAGTGCGAGTCTCTGTTGAGTGGGGCTATGGGCAGGTGGTTAACCACTGGGCGGCTCTAGACTTCAAACGCCAAGCTCGATCTGGTACGCAGCCAGTCGGCACGATGTATCGTGTTGGTGTCTTGTTGACAAATTGCCTAACTTGCGCCAATGGGGGCAATACTATTAGTGACTACTTTGGTCTTTCTCTCCCAAGTCTAGAAGATCCGATGCGTCCTTGGCTTCTTCGATACCACTACCCAAGCTGGCTCGGAGTTCTCCTGTGCGCCATTTTTTCTTCAAGAGCCGGACTCGATCTTGCATATCAGCACCACGTTGATGGCAGCACTCACACACGTTGCAACTAATCCGCTAGTCACTCAAGACACCATGGACTCCCGCGCACCTGCCGCAAGACTCACCTCGGGCTGTCATAATGACCAAGCCCACCTCTTACGTAGCCACACCGTTGGACTTCGTCCACATCAAAAGAAGGCGTACTTACTGCGACTTTGGAACGAAGCCTGTCAGTCAGACCAAGTTCTGCTTGCTGCCTCAATTGCCGGGTACTTTCAAGAAGAAGAACCCCAACAACCTCAACTACGCGTCCCCTTTAACTTCAACTCTCTCTCCAACTCAGATTGCGTTTCCAAGTTTCGATTTGGAACGGCTCAAATAGCAAGGCTATGCAGACTCTATCCACACCTCCGAGTTGTAAGCGGCACAGCAGTAAATTAACAGCAGCAAAGTACCTCACTTGTTTTAAACCCAACAGTATATTTGTACTGCTTTTGTGGGTTTCGAACGACCTACTCGATCGAATTTGTGGGTGGTTAGGCTCTAGACACACATGTTCGTCTCACTTTTTTGAGTTGTCGTTTTTGCTAAAGATCTCTAATGTAATTGACTAACGCGTACTACCAAATAGAATACGGTATAATTCATTTTTCAAGCAATCTAGAATAAATTTATAAGATATATTATTCGTTCTGTTTCGTGTGCGCACATATTGCAGTATCGATCTCGAATTAATCCTGATTACCTACCTGCACTGAATATCAAATCCGAGGCCTGATAACACTCCCAATATCTCAAGAATACAAAACAAGAACTCTATGTACCAAAAACTCAATGTAACAAGAACTCTATGCAAACCCCGAACAACGTGTCTACATTTGTACCTGCGTGTCACACACTTTTAACCGCCGTAGCAATGTGAAGAGTCCATTGATTGCGGCAATTCCAGCATCCATCCAACGCCTCCGGATTCGTGCTACAAGTCTTCACACATGAACAATAGGGCTCTTTCGTGCACTGAGGCCAGCTTCAGTATGGAAACTCCCGCTGGTTCATTATTGTATAGCGCCAACTATCTGCTTTATCGAACATGCCATCCACAATGGGATCATAGCTCCGAATACAAAATGTAGTATCAAATGTTGCTGCTGCGAAGCAGGCGCAGGAGATGCGTTGATAAATACTAGCGTGGTCGTAAATAACTTCGCAAAAGTTACCCCAGCCTTCGGGTAGCCCTTGTTCGAGCCCTTTCGCCTTGGTTTCATCATCAACAGCAGTTCTATTGTCCTTAATAGGTACTTTCCTAACTCTAAAAATTGGCACAAAAAATGAAGTGCACAAAAGCTGAAGCAGGCTTTTCTCGAGTCGTAATACATTACGTTACACGGGTGTATACTTGAACGTTGGTTGTAGCCAAGCAGTCCGCCATGGCGTAAGGAAA